AAAAAAAAAAAAAAAAAAAAAAAGGCTTTTCTAACTAGTCATTAATAATAATGAGACAGAATTTTAGGCCTGTTGGCCCTGAAGTGACTTTACATAGTTTTCCTTAGTAGGACTGACCAACCAAACAAGGAATATATTCTTTACTTCTCCTTAGCTGTCCCACCCCCATTCAGAGACCACATCCTACCTTGGCTGCATAGATGAAGACGTAGAGTCTAACGTGGACGGAGCTTCAGGGACACTGCCGTCTGTGCACTGAACTGGTAAAGAGTCAGACAGACTACTGACAGAAGTCGCTGCAATGGTACCACATTTCATATTAGTGATTCTGCACTCTGGACAGTCCAACACCTTATCTAAAAAAATCAAGATCAGTTTTCCACAAAATATAGTATATGAACTTTGTTTTACTATGTAATATGCTCAATTCAATACTTTTAAGGTTTTTCAATACTATAGTTTTCCAATGACAATAATACTGATTTTTAACTATGAAGGAAGCTACACACAAACCATATGTATTAGTAAACTAAACTCCTATTTCTCAGGACTGAATATCACTAGACCCTTTAACTCACAAACATCTTCCAAGTTCCAGTGCAGAAATGAGATACTTACGGTAAAAGATAAGTTCACAGTGAGGCAAACCTAGTTTCAGAACTGAAACCTGTGCTCAGCATATTAGGCCACATTATTTCTCCTTCTCTTCAGAAGGCAGAAATGGAGACGATAATTTAATTTCAAAAACAGTGATTTATACTGGTTTCATCTCAGCCTTAGGAAAAATTGGAGAAGTTTTGAATAAATGGTTCTAGCTTTTGGCTTGAATATGAAGCACTGGCAAAAAAGACTCCATATAAAATGTTAAATGAGCTAAGCATCAGCCTACACGTTCATTAAGCACTGAAACCCACACACTCAGGCACTAACCTACACGAGGACTAGCCCAGGTGAGGACTAGTACTACCTTACTTTTGCAAAGCTTATACTATGAACCCTCATGATCCTTCTTACACAACTGCTGATACAAAAACCCACCTCACTTCCAGGAGAACCCTTTGACTCAAAATGGCACACAGAGAACTCAAGTGCCTGGGGTTGGACACTTGCACTGAGTTGCACTGCTACAATGCTCCTTCCTAGTGGGGTCAGAGTTTCTCTAAAGTCAGCTGTGGCCATCTATCTCCCACTCTTTCCTTGTACAACTGTCTTGACTTCAGACGTCCTCCAAGATCAAAGAACTAAGGCCCTCTTGTAGTCCTCACTCCCTGACCTTACTTTCCAAGATAGCCGGTATACTTGAAGTCTGCTCCTATTTTGATAAGACCATAGAGTTCTGTAGCACAGCAGGTAAGACTATGGAATGGATTTGTGGTAGTTATTTTCAATGGGTAAGGATACTCTTATTCCTGTTTCCCTACCATTGATAACTATAATATGTAATGAGACATTTTACTGATATGAATGTAGTAAAATAAGTGCAATGTGAGAGCAGAAAAGGGTACGGGGTACACTGCACAAGCCAGGTGTATCTCAATTCTGAATACTGCAGGTTTTAGCAGACTTACCAGGTGGGCTTATTCTGTCATTACTGCTATTCTGCCGTTGAAGGTGTTCTTTGTAGCACACCGAACACATGCCATTTGTACGAGGGTTTCCATAAAATCCGCAGCCAGTGGAGCACAGCATAGGCACTTGGCTGTGATTAGTTTCCTGAGCCATGTTCCTCTGTTGCACACCTGAAATTTACAAAGAATTAGCAAAAAATTCACATACCACAGTCATACATTATCCAAATCTAGTTTATATGATAAAGAAAAACCCACATATACTCCCCTCTAAACCCCTCTATACAGGGAAAGAAAAAATTAAAATGAAAAGGATACAAACTAAACTTTCATCACTAACCCACTCTATATAAGCAGGTCTGTGCCAGCTCAGGGAGTACACAGAGCTACTAGAGAAGGCTTCTCTTCAGGACATTCCACACCATCAGGTGCTAAGGAAAACCCTTTATGTCTAATTCAGCTTGGACTGCTAATAATAGGGAATATACATTGTAAACTCTGCTATGTTATACTGCACATTTAAACTTTGGTCCAAGGTCACGTTTTAACTTGTATAATTTCTTCTGTTTAAAAAGCATTTAACATAGTATCAGTATTGGTAAAGATGTGGAGAAATGGGCAGAATGTTGCTGAAATGAGAAACTGGTTCAATGTTTCTGGAAAGCAATTTGGCCATTCACCGTAAAAGCCTATAAAAGGCTGCCCTTTGACCCCTCATGCTCCCACAGGAGTCTGCACTAGAACAACTAGGGTATAATCAGGAAAAAATAAAAACAGGCACAGTGTGAAATGTATATACAATATGTTGCCAATTGGGATAAAAAGGGCATCTATTAATCATCAAAAAAGATAAGAAAGGACATGTCAAGGATGGCAAAGCGAATGGTGACTCTTTTTCTGATCTGTACCTTTTGTGTACTTATAAAATCCTCCTAAATGAAGACACTACTTGCCTAAATGGAACAAAAATTTTTAAAAGTATTTAAAAATTAAAAACTATCAGGACAGAGGACTGTTTGGGAACCACATGAAGGCAATAATCAACTGGAGCAGATGCAAAAATCCTATGTGCTATTTCTCTCATAAAGCAAGTAGATCTTTGCCATGAATAACATGACAGGAGGTAGTAACAGTCTGTTATTTAAGAAACTCCCAAATAAAATGAAGGTATATGTACATTTAAGATGAGTCTACGTTCACAGATCTTGAAAAATGAGAGGGCCATGTTTTGCCACTGAAGTTTCCTTGACCTGATAAGCAATGAGGGAAACCATTCATATTACCATATAACCATTAACACACTTTCCCACATCTAAACTATCAGAACAGATTGCTGCGCGGGGATCTGATGCAGATTTCAGAACCAAGAGCCATAAGGCATTTGAATGATTACAAAACAAAGCAGCCAGCCTATCATGCGCCTTTAAAAAGAAATGTTTTAGCCTGGCCAGTGTGGCTCAGTGGTTGAGCATCAACCTATGAACCAAGAGGTCACCAGTTTGATTCCCAGTCAGGGCACATGCCCAGGTTCCAGGCTCAAGCCCCAGTACGGGGTGTGCAGGAGGCAGCAGATCGATGGTTCTCTCTCATCACTGATGTTTCTCTCTCTACCTTTCTTTCTCTGAAATCAATAAAAAATAAAAAATAATGTCGTAAAAATGTTGAGACTATCTAGACGTTTACCCTAAGAATACAATTTGGGATTCTGACACCTTTCTTACTCCATGATGATAGCAAGTCATTTCAGGATCCAATCTTTGCTGAACCTAAAAAATATATCTGCTACTTTAGGTCCCTCCCTCGCCTACAGTTCTGTAAATATACGTATCAGATTAAAAAAAAAAATGATGATGAGACAGAAAAGCTACTCACAAACATTTTCTGATTTGGGGGCCCATGTTCCTGAGGGATAGTGTGTTTGTCTGGTTTGGGTTCCAGGGTCACTGCTCAAGGTCATGAACACAGCTAGTAACTGGGACTCAGTACAGGCAGTCTGGCTCTGAAGTCCACACTATACCAGTGGTTGTCCAAGTGTGCGCCACAAACACCAGGGAGGTCAAACTGTTTTCATGCTAACAAGCAGTTATTTGCCTTTTTCAAAGTGGTAACATGTTACAAAAGCAATAGTGAATGAAATACCTGGAGCCTGAACAAGGAGCCAAATCCTGACAGTGGCACCTAAGTATACTACTACAGTGGGATTCTTCATCAGCACACGCTCACAGAAAGTTAATTTCATTAAATCTCGACCCCGAACTCACATGTCTTGCTAGCATTCTGTGCGACAGACTGGGCAGCACGCATAAGCATGCCTGCTGCACACAGAGGTGTGATGACAGTCTGAAGGGAAGGCACGTGTGCAACTGTTCAAGTTGTGTGCTGACCGAGGCACCTTTTTCACGGGACATGTCTTTTATTTGAAAGAAGACTGATAAACTCTTGTTATTCAGACGAGTATATGGCAGACACCTTCTCAAAAATGAACAAAGTGAGCCTGTCACCTGAAGAAAAACAACTATAATAGTACTTACGGCCGAGTAAAACATTTAAGTGAAAACAATCTTGACAAGTACCTCCAAGTTTTAGAGTTTCTGCTAAGATCAGTGGTGATATTAATGACATGTGAGCAACTGGTAACCACATCAACGTTTGGAAGATCAGAGTAAGTCAGGAAATCATTATTTTCTAAGCAATCAATGTATAATGGTTCAAAATTACTTATGAACAAAAGATCTATTCAAAGTGAAAGATAGACCAATGGATTTTAAAGTAACAGAACAAAAGTTTTTATAGAGCTTCAGATTCTACATTGCATGTATACCTTTAGGAAACCACACATTGTTTAGTGTAACAACCAAAGAACCACCTCTATTATCTGAAAAGGTTGTTGAAATACTCCTTGCTTTCCCAGATGCTGTATGTGACACTGGTGCTTCTCTGTAGCACTGTTACACACTGAACATAGAGGCAATTAGGAGAATTTGGCTGTTTGTCATTAAGCCAGGCCCTGAAGAGATTGGCAGAAATGGGCAACAAACCCCTTTTCTCACTAAGCCATTTTGGGGGGGGGAAAGGAATGGTTCTTTTTCACAAAAAATTTTAAATATTCTGTAATTTTTCTCAGCTTTAATTTATAATATGATAAATATCACTAAATAGAACCCACATAAATGAAAGCTATGTAGGGCACCCAGTAATTTTAGAGAACATAAAGGTTCTGAAATGAAAACTTTGGAGAACCCACTGCTGTGGCATCATGCATTCTCAAGGCAGCCAGGACCACCTCAAAGGGGCAAAGTGATTCTCTGGGGTAAAGGAGCACATGAAAAAAACGCTTATTCTTTATGTATAAAACACGGCTATACATATAATACATAAATAGGTATATAGCTATAAAATTAAAATTTTTCAGAGGTGGGAGTCCAATTAGGAACAAACTGTTTGAAAAGGCTTCTGAGGAGTGCAAGAAAGAAAAGAAACAACTGTCTAAACCACCAGCTATTCTATGCTGCCTATTACTGGCATTAAAATGATGTAAGATAAGAATTAAAGGAACTTTCCCCGCGGGTACTTTCGTACATGGCTGGCAATCCCACATCTCCAGAAAAAATATTCTAATTCTATGAAAACTCAAGTAAATAGTCACAGATTAAAAGTACAATATGACCACCAAGCCGTTACATGTCACATTACCCACTTTTGAACAGTAAGATTTAAACTGAAAAACTGGTAACACTGGCAATTTCCCAAAGGCTAACTGCCCTGCACCGCAGCAAATTAACAATGATTTTCAAAGTCAAGAGCTTTCTTATAAAAAACTACTGTCCTGTGAGGTAAAAGCACAGAGGACTTCACAGCTTAAAAAGGAAAGGGGGGGGGATATCAACTTTATTTATTCATCTTTAGGCCTCAAAATGAACCTTTCTATAAAGATTCAGAAGACGACCAAAACCACAGAAGGGCATCTTAGTCTATGGGAACGTGGGGGGGGGGGCAGCTGTGGGGAGACTGCAAGTCTTGCCTCCTTGCTACTCACTGCACCTTTTCAGCAGGTAAAACAACATGCAGGGCCCATTAGTCCAGCACTCAGGAGGAAAAGAGAGGAGGGAAGGGAATGAAAAGACAGAATAGTTCCTTAGCTGCTGCACTGTGGGATTATAAAGCCACAAATCCAAGGAGGTCAAGGATGAGATTACTGGACATAACAAAACATTGATTAGCATGGTATAATTTTTTTTAAGTCTATGACTTGCAGAGAATTTAGAAAACTTGCTTTCTGACTCTTAATAACATTCACAATCAAAACCACAACCCATTACCTGTCCTATTCTCTCAGATAGTACTTAAGAGTTATTCACAGCTTACTACGGGTCAAGAACAGTTTCATGTACATTATCTCATTTAACTGTATCCAGAATCCTCTGATGCTGGTGCTACTGATATCCCTTTAAAAAATGAGGAAACCAATATTCAAAGAGACTTAGTAACCTGCCCAAGGTCACATATGTAGTAAGCAGCTAGGTCTTTGTCTAAAAAATGAAGATTATGACTTTCAAAGCCCATCCCGTAACTTTGTGAACATCCATCAATTCTTATTCTTTTTATTTAAAGACAATTAAAAATTTCATTCATTTATTATTCAACCTTAAGATATTATGCAGCTTTAATTAGCTTAACTAAGCTCTTGAGAAAATTTGTTTTTCCTTTAAGTTTTTTTACCTAAGAGTCTCATTATCATAAAAATTCAAGATCACGTATTTTAAGGCTGCAAAGGAAATTCAATACCAATTTCTAAAAGGGGAATGTCACATAAAAATTCCAGATTTCCAGTTTCTCTTGAAAAATAGGAAGACCTGACAACAGTGGACTCGTCTTCTCAGACTTAAAACCCCTCCTAGAGCCTGTGCTCTCCAATTCAAGGCCACTTCCACTTTCAGCGACTGACTCACCTTATACGCATCCGTTTACAATTCCTAGGTTATCACCTTTTCAATCTGGGGTCTTTACTACTCACTTCGGGAGAAGAAAAAATTCACATAACATGTTGAGTTAAATAAGAATGGACACCGAACTTTGAACTCGTGTAGCAGGCACAAGGTGGTAAGGCCAGCTTTCCCCTCACCTCCCGTCTTTCCTAACCACTCAGGATTGGCTGATCTCACAACTGCATCAAGTGGATACCCCAGAGAAGGACCAAGTGGAACTTGGGAACACCCTGCTTCAACTTTTTGATCATAAGGGATCAAAGGAGGGATGCTCGTCCCAGCACAGGTGTTGAGACTAGTGTTTTTTGGTAGCACAATGACATCCCATGTTACGAGCATCTGGTCTACCAGCTATCACATGGGCGATACACACGTTCTGGGGGGTGAGAAACTTTGCAGGGGTGACCAAAAAATCCAGGGAAGTTCATAAAGCAAACAGATCAGAAAGCATGACTTGCTATAAAATGCTTGGGACAAATGCTACTCACGCTGATAGACACATAAGGACCTGGGTTAGGTTCCTATGGTACTGAGGATGCTTTGTAGTTGTCTCTGTACAGCAGTCCCCAGGTCCCTAGGTCAGGCTCTTTCCTGCTGTTGCTTGGGCTGGAAGACAAAAAGACATGAGGACTCTGGCTAACATGAAAGTAACACCTTTGGGATACTACCTATTCTTTCCAGCAAATGATTAACTCATCACTTCCAACATACTAGGTTATATAGAGAGACCCCTAAAGTTAAATATAAACCTCACTGTCCCATTATTGCTCTAAGGAAAGTTTTCACTCAAAAACGGGTCACTGTGTTGGTTGCAGCTGAAAAAGACAGGTTTTTAAAGAAACTCTGAGTGGTATTTCCATCTGCAATGGCCCTCATTTGCTGCCTTCTGCCCACCAATGTTTATATCGGGGGTCGGCAAGCTTTTCTGAAAACGGCCACAGTACGTATTTTAGGCTTCATGGGCCGCACAGTCTCTGCTGCAACCACCTGACTGCTGTGGCCGTGCAAAGGCAGCTACAGACAATAATGAATAAAGGAGCATGGTTGCCGTGGTCCAAAGCCATACTTACGACCACTAAAATCGGAATTTCACAGGACTTTCACCACACAAAATTTCACTCTTTTGATCTCCCCCGCAAAAGAACATTCCCAGCTCATGGGCTGAACGAAAAGTAGGTGAGAAGCCAAAAATGTGCCAACCTCTGGACTGACTAAAGAAATGCCTTTTATGTGAGCTGTGGGGCGGCTGGGTAGACATGGGATTCAAGCACAGTACCATTAACTGTGGGGTTCTGCACTCCAAAGCTGAGTGTAAATTTTAAGTGTTATTTGCTCTTGCTAAGTCTCATCTGCCTTAGTTAAGTGTATGTTCATCACCTAACAAGGGGAAAGGACGAAGAAAGGCAGGGTGCACCCAAATCTGTATCCCCAGGTACGGCTTATGTGGACAGCTGTAGCTATGACGAGAAAAATGACAGTACTGCTCTTGGTACAATCCCACCTCTATGTAGCAAACTGTTTTTTATTCAGCAAGACTAAATAAATCCACAGTATCTTAAAAATTACACAATCAGCCCTGGCAGGTGTGACTCAGTGGTTACAGTACTGGCCTGCACACAAAAGGGTCATGGGTTCGATTTCCGGGTCAAGGGCATGTACCTAGGCTGCAGGTTCGATCCCCGGACCCAACTGGGGTGCGTGTGGGAGGCAACCAATCCATGTATCTCTCTGACATCAATGTCTCTGTCTCTCTCTCTCCCCCTTCCTTCCCTCCCTCTCTCCTACTCTCTCTAAAAAAATATCCCCCGGTGAGGACTAAAAAAATTTTTTTAAATATTATACAATCATTCAATAACTGAACCTGGAAGATATCTACATTCCAAAATCTGACAGTTTGTGTCTGTCTGGTATGTTTTCCTTCCTCACCTATCTCAATTTCATTTACTATTAAATTACACTCACATAGCCTGTCTTCCCTCTCCTGAAACATGACCTCTGTACTGGGCAGGGATTTTGTCCATTCTGTTCACTAATGCTTAAAATAATGCTGGGTACATGGCAGGCCTTCAGTATTTGCCGAAAGCATGGAGGAAATGGCCCTGCCCCTTTGCCAGCACACAACCAATAGTAGTGAAGTACTTGTCCAAAGGCAAATAACTGGATCGGGATCAAAGAAAATAAAATTGCTGTTTGAGAAACTGAATTTGCTTGGGTTTGCCAGCAGGGACCGCTACATACAGTTATGTACTTGTGCACTGAACAAGCTTTTCCAATTCAGTCAACTCAGAGGGGTTCATTTAGCAATCTGCCGAACTCAGCATGCCGAATAGTAATTTTACGAGTAAAATTAAGTTGGTCAATTTTAAGTTCTCAAATTGACCTAGGTTCCATATATCACGTGCCTTAAGAATTAGTCACAGTTATTATCAGCACAAGGCAGCATAAAATCATTTTTTGCAAAAGGGGGGAAAAACAATCAAATTATCCCATTGGTTTCCATATTTCTGGACTTTCATTCACTTTTCTTCTCAAAAAGACTAGCATAAAATAGTATCTGATATGCAAGATCCATACACAAAACCCTTTTTATTCCCTCCTCTTTGACCCTAAACATTGTATTATCATTCAACCATGCAAACTTTGTGTTGTGCTCCAGCCCCAACCCTTTAAGGAGTCTCCTCTCCTTAAGGCAGATCTCCAACTGACTTCCAATAGTTGTAGATGACTATCCCTCCAAGATTTCTTCTGTTTAATATGGTTACCCTCTCAATTTCAATGTCTTCTGTTCCTTTGAAATTTTTTTTATACAGCACTTTTTATACCAATAACTGGCTTTACTATTTATTATTTAACAATATTTATATCATGCTTTATGTGCTAAGCACTGTTCTAAGAACTTTATAAATATCAACTCCTTTAATCCTTACAACAATCCTATGAAATGGGTATTATGACCATCCTCATTTTACAGAAGAGAAATCAGAGGGTAAGAGAATTTCTCAAGGTCACACAGCTATTCAGTGATGGAGCTGAGCGTCAACCTAAGCAGTCTGGACGCTGCCCATGCCCTAAACCAGTCATTCCCAAGGCGTATCTGTGGACCCTGGATATCCCTGTGGTCCTTCCAGAGGTCCAGGAGCTCAAAACCATTTTCATACAAACAAGAGCTTGCTGTTTGTCCTTCCAGGTGCTGACTGGCAGTGTAAAAGCAGGGAGGGCCCAACAGCTGGAGCCTTGGCACAGATCAAGGCAGCAGCACCCAACTGTGTGAGTCAGTCACTGCAGTCCTCATTGCCACACTCAGCAAAAAAAGCCACCATCACTTAGGAATATTCTTAATAAAACAGCAACATAAACTGAAGTCCACCTCAGACAGATCTGGGCACACAGCTCCTAGTCAGTATCCCATTTCAGGGGGAGGCCAGCTAAGGAAACATGCTCCACAAATTCAGAGGAAAAGGACAGCTACTTATAACAAGCAACATCGTCCTTCTACATGAACTATGAATAAGGGACGAATAATATGGTCTGTAAGGAGAGAACATAAACGAGGAAAACCATAAATACAGACAGCAGTTACTTCACTTCTTCAGGGCTGTATTCCCAGTACTGTAGATATGGGCTGGTCAACTTCTGCTTTAAAGGGCCCAACATTACATAATTTAGGCTCTGTGTGCCATATAGTGTCAGAAATGTTCAACTCCACCTTGGGTATAAGAAAGAAGCCACAGACTTTATGTAAATGAATGGGCACAGCTGCACTCCAATAAAACTTTTATTTACAGAAAGAGGTGTCCAAAAGGATGTGGCCAGTGGGCCACAGCTTGCCAATCCCCGTTCTAGATCAATGCCAGGCACATAGGAGGTATACACTGGATGAATAAATGATTTCAAAACTATTTTAGTTAAAATGTTATCAGGAAAGAAATAGCAAAATTATACGGCTGTGGTCAGTTTTACTTCCTTCTGCCATAGCTCTTTGTCCAGGGTGCCTTAATGTACTTATCGTGGTGCCTACTGCTCTACTCAGTGCTAGAAAAGTTCATGATACACGGTTCTGCTCTCAAGAATCAGAATAAGGACAAGGAATGTGTGATTTTCACGTATCTGCACAGATATCACATCTAATTCCCAAATTATAAATAATCATTATGAGCCACTAAACAAGGAGATTATAATATTTCTCTTTTAGAGCTAGTGAAAGATTGGGAACTAGATAAACCCTGGAGACTTCACACTGCTGTGTATCTGCTGACCAAACCGGAAAGGGAAAAACTGGGCAAACTGACATCTAGAGGTCCCTATTTTTGAACCACACTGCACATCTCCTTCATTTCTGCCACGTACCTCGAACTACTTTCCTAAGAATATCCAGAGCCAGTGTATATTGCTCCTATGCTTTCTAAAAAGACTTCTCATTCCTGATTCTAAAGACAGTTTTGATTTTTCTTCAGCCAACACATTTGTCATGTAAGAAAAAGCAAATTCGCCTCAATCAAATAACATTCCTTCCAGTCCACGCCTCCCTAAATAATTACTAAGATTTTATAAATCTTTATCTATGTGCTCATCACTCTGGTCACTGCAACATCTTATATTTTAATCATCTCATCTGTGCAACCATGCATTCCTCCAGGATGCATTCCTCCAGGGGGGAAAACATTCCATTAAGAGTCTCACTCCTAAATCTATAAAGAAAAAAACAAAACAGGAAAAGTCGAAAAACATTACCCCCCCTCACACACACTGATTCTTAAGGTGATAACTTTTATTAAGAAAAAAAGGATATTTTTTCTTCTTCAATGGGTATTTATATTGTCAAAGCACTTTAAGAAACCCAAGTTGGCAAGTTTAAAAGATTCCCAACTACATTTAGGGCACAAGAGCTCCTTTATTTTGAGGTGCATGTTCTCCGGTTAAACAGAGCTATTTTTAAAATTATTAATTATAACTTAAATGACTCCCAAGAGCCATTCTATATTAATACCTAATATCATATTCTGAAAAATGTTTTATGGCTGTTTGGTCAAAATATTAATTTTAAAAGGCTGAAATCAACTGCGAAAGAAACAGCAATCTAATGAATTATCATCTTTTGTCTCACAGTAAGATTAGTAATGTGGATTCCACTGCTTAACATAATTCTGCAAAAGAGATACAATAACTAATGATATTTAGATATTCTAAATAATACTTCATAAATGAAAATCTACCACCCACTCCACCCTCAGTATCCTACCCACCAAAAAATAACATAAATAAATAAAAATACCCTAAGAAATGCCTCTCACACTGACTTCGGTACCTTTGAGCCCTTGAGATTTGGAAACGTGAAGTTACTATGCCCAGTTACAGAGGTTACAGGCTTAGGTCTACTCACACAGTTGAGGTGACGAGCAAAGAGCTGTCCTGTATCTGGAGACAGACATTAGCTTCCTGCCTTCCCTATCCTCATAAGCAGCTACTTAAAGTTTGAGTTTTATGCAAGAAAACATTTTAAAGCCTTCAGTGTTTTCCTGCAGCAGACTTCAGATTCATTCCTGTAACACATTTAACATGAGACAGAGTTGAGACAGTTAAAATTGAATATGTGCATTTAAATTGTCTAAAATTTTAAGGAGTGCTTTCAAAAAAGGGCTGTTGAGTTACAAGGAAGAAATAAAATAATTTCATTTGGTATTTGACACCAATGTATAATATAATAATAGGTAACTTTTAACATATAGGTTTTTCTTCACCTGGCCACAAGCTAGGTGAGCAAGGATTACTTTTTATAATCATTTCTATGCAAAGTAAGCCAACTAGGTATTTTTCTATTTTTCTAATTCATGCTAATTTGTTTAGCATAAACAGCTAACAAACAACTAAAGAATAACTTTTACAGTCAATGGAGTGACTTCAGTGTCCCAAGAATACTCCTCGGGACCCTCCCAACTGGGGAGGATGGGACAGGAGGAGGAGCCCCATTTCCGACATTTACTCCAAAGGTTTACAGCACATTCCCCCAGATTCAAAGTTCTACAGCATCATTACTGCTCCAGGTTAATCAAGTGTTAGAGGGCTTGTCTGAAAAACAAAGCAATCAAAATACCCTAGAATACCTAGATAACTACTTTCCCCGACACGTGCAATACTGGCCTCAACTTCTACAGTGAGTTTTAGGGAAAACTTCAGGATTTCACAGTCAGCTTACTATTTATATTAGCAACATGGCTTAAAAACACCATGAGAAATAGCATCTAAACACTAGAATTTCACAAATTTTTAAAGCATTATTTAATGCTGAAATATTTATTGCACCTTTTCTGTGCACTCAAAGATAACGGTTTCAGGGCTCATTCGAAATAACTCAAATACTTCCTTATAATCTACTTATAGTGTACATATAAATGATTTCAGAAATAATTAATTCAAGGCCCTTGCTGGCCAGATCAGTTGGTTGGAGCATCGTCCTGATATGCCAAGGTTGTGGGTCGATTTCGGTCAGGGTACATTCAAGAAACAAGCAATGAACACATAAATAAGTGGAACAACAAATCTCCCCCCCCACACCTCAAATAAAAAAAAAATAATTCAAGACCTCATAAAAGTTGTAACTTCATAGAATAATTTTCACACAAGTTAAAGTGTTCGTCCAAGAGTCTGAGCTTCAGGGGAACTTATTATAAGCTTATTTTCACTGCTGGTTTAAGTGAGCCTACTGTAGTACAACACAGTGACTAAAAAATAAATTGTACCAATCTTGGGCTGTAAAACAGAAGCATACTTTCTGTATAATAATAAATAACAGTTAATGAGCGATTCTGGCAAAATTACCAAAGAATGTTAAAGTCTTTGTGGATCCAAGTTTCATGAGAAACAGTTTATACTGAGTCTCAAAGTATCTCCCCACAAATTACTTAGTACCAAAGGAAAAACAGTAACTTTTAAGTGGAAGAACCTGCAGAGACCACATTAATCAAAAGATCAGAATGAATGTCACTGAAAACAGGACAAGAGGACATGTGCCTCCTGATGTGACCCACCGAGAAGCACACATCACTAATACAGCACTTCTGCCCAAACTCCATTTCCTAAATATGATCACAAAGACCTACCCGAAAAACCCAAATTGAGGAAGATTCTATAAATAAATGTCTTGTCATTCTTCCAAAATGTCAATGTCATAAAAGACAAAGAAAAGCTAAAAAAAAAAATTTCCTCCTAAAACATTTATCGACTTTTACAAAGAAGTCATATAGGAAAACACACTGCAAAACAGTCAAGTCCCCTTATTACATAGAACAAAGAGACCTTACAACTAGTAAGCCACTGCTTCCAGGTTCTTTTAAGTTTTACCAACTTATCTGTCCATTAAAATTTTTTCTTCTGTTATTAGAAAAAATATCACTTTTTCTACATTCTAAAAAAATAAAATAAAGCTATCACCATTCTTATCTTGCCTGAATGTTACATCATTTACAGTGCTTTCTGCCTGGCTGGCATGGCTCAGCGGTTGACCATAGACCTAGGATCCAAGAGATTGAGGTTCAATCCCCAATTGGGGCACATGCCCCTGGCTGCAGGCTCCTTGATCCCCAGTTGTGGCCATGCAGGAGGCAGCTGATCAATGACTCATCACTGATGTTTCTACTTCTCTCTCCCTCTCCCTTCCATTGTCTGAAATTAATAAAGATATATTAATAATAATAATAAAGTGTTTCCTTCTCCCTCTAGAAAGCTGGTTCCTACCCTCTGAATAAAACTTAGGTACTACATGGGAGAACTCGATACCCCTGGCGATCAACCAGAGACCAGCATAGTAGAGGCACAGCAGAGAAATGATTAAAGACAATCATTTATCAAAGTTCCAGTGTTCCCAGAGTACTAGAAGAGGAGGTAAACCTTTACCTTGGGTGCCCATTAAAATGTTATCTACAGCCAAACTGGAAATGACTTTCACTAAAATTGTTATATTTACAGTTATCTTCATCTCTACCTGGCAGCAAGAAAATTAATCTGTTAAGAAGAAAATTAAATACATTTTCTCAAATGCAGAACGAACGGAGTATTCATGACATAAATATTTAAGCACCCACACAAATTTTTAAATATTTAAGTGAAACTCAATCATTGTATTCATGCATAAAGTATTTGTCTGCATAAAGTCTGACACATCTAGCAAATGACTAGCAAATGCCTAGAAGATGTATTTCCTAAGAATTTTTTCACTGATTAAAAGTGGACAGTGTTAAGTTTTTCTTTTCTATACCAGATAAGAAAACCAGTGTCTGGAAAATCAAACTTTTCAGGTATGAGAAACAAAATAGATATTTAAAACAAAACAAAAGAAAACAAAAACTTTCTCCTGAAACAGACTCAATAACCAACATACCAACCTTAGCTCTCAAAGTTGGATACACTAAGTTATGAGTAAACTGAAACAAAAATTTACAGGTAATAAGTTAAATTATTTAAATTTGAAAATGAGCTAGAGAAATTCAAGATTACACATGCTCAACTACTGGTCGCATCAATGAATTAGAGCTTAACCCATGACTTATCATCGCCTCCCATTTATAAATTATATTGGTATTTTTAATTGTCTTCATTTTTGCATTAAAACAACTTTTTAAGTTTATTCTGGAACAACAGTTAACAAGTTCAGTTACAGACTATTCCATTTCATAGACTAGCTGGCAAAAGTCCATGTAATCAGCACTTATTGCCAAACAAAGAATGCTCTTAAGACCAACAGAAACAACATACCCGGGACCACCCCGTGTATCTTACCTTTAGCTGAAAACCTGTGAAATACTAGGAAGGTGCCGATATACCATTTTAAATCCTAGATCTGTATATACATATTCAGTATCTATACTGCACTTAAAAAATTCAGAAATGCACAAAGAGTGACAAAGGCTATTCATATCTGCTTAGAGACAGGTAAAATAATGTTAACTGGCGCTGTTCCAGCCCCTCTCTAAGATATGTTATTGGAACAAAATATTTCTCCTGGTAAGTGCTTACCAGAAGCATGTGCTCAGGAAAGCTGGACTGAACCACAATGCCAGTGTAAAATACTCATGGACAGCAATATATGTAATAAGTAAAATACCCAACAAGGATATAACTGGCTCACTTAAGTGGGTGAAAATTTTCCAAATTTCCTTCAGATGATTTCAATATCCAGAAAAATGGATTTAGATCCATCTACATATTGGAAAATAGAATTTAAGATAGGCTATTAGTTTAGAAAACTAATCAATAGTCTGAGGGCTACATAGGCAAGCTTCAACAGAACATTTCAGGGCTACCATTAAAGAAATTTTAAAGCCCATCCTGCTGGTGGCAATATAAACTTGCAGACACTTTCTGAAATGCAATTTGTCCAATGAAGTGCTCATATCCTTTGATCTAGGTAAGCCCACTCCAGGGGATTTTTCCAAAGCAAATAAATCATTTATAAAAATAAAGAGGAAAAGATTTTAAAATTTACACACAGAAGTCTGTTCAATGCAATGCCATTTTTAATGGTGAAAAATTAGGAACAAGCTAAATATAAAACAGGCAAAAGCCTAGGTGAAGTAAGGTCCCACTAACAAAAGCATTATACAGCAACAGAAATTAAAACAAGGTGAACATTAGACGATCTAGTGAAGTTAAAAAACCCCCCAAACTGTACTTCTGTACAATTCTGAGAAAAATACAAGAACATGGTACAGACAGTGAAGAGGAAATTATAAGGCCACCACACAACACTCTCATGGGTATGTGGCGACTCTTCTTAATTTTATTACTGTAACTATTATTATTATTATTGCTGCATTATTTAAGCAATAGATAGAGCAGAAAAGCATTAATTTAAAGCCCTTTGCGTGATCTGGAAGCAGCCGCACAGCAAATACAAGTATTACCCTGGCTGAAATGCTTAGCTATTGTTTGGGCTGATTATTGAAATGAACTTTTATACCTTAACGACTATGAGATCAAAGGACAACAATATAAAGAAAATGGTCTCTAAAGAAAACTTCTGGTGCTGAAACAATACAATTATTTCAAAAGTAAGAAATGTCAACAGAATCCTAGATACTTTTGAAAAAAGTTTTGGTAGCCTAGCTATAGGTCTTACAAATATGTATCTATTCATTTCCTGTTTCAAAAGGGTGTTAATTACTTATCTTCACCTTTGAAATAAAGTTTGAATGACGGAGAAAGCAGTTTTACCTTGTTCTATATAAAATAAATCAATGATCTTCTTAAAAAGGAAGCTAAAATTACGAGCATATTTAAAATGCCAACATATTTCTAAATTTAAAATATACTGAAGTTAAAAAGGGGGGCTGTGCAGGGGAAAAAAATGAAACAACTGGCATTTCAGTTCTTTAAAAAACAACAAGAAGCAAACAAATTTAAGCCTACCACATTTATCTGTCTTTCAGGAACTTAACATCTTAAGTTTAAGGAAAATGACATATCAAATCGACCTCAAGGTGTCATTTATAAAAACTGACAAATGACTGCTCGAACATCCAGCCCAAGAGCTAAGCCTGTTACTTGAGATGATTTTGAGTCAAACATTTTAAAAAATGACACTCACATTCTGAACTAAAAATAATGATAAAAGAAAGTCAAGTTTGATTCTCTGAACACCTATTTCCTGTCCAAACAGCCCTTTTGTTCTGCTTCCCTGCTTATTTTAATGTTCAGTTTGCATCAGAAAACAGCAATGATGACAAAACCTGGCGGACACAGAAGCATAAAGGATAAAAAGTGTAAAATTAAGGATCATTAAAAGATTAGAACAAAAATCCTACCAACAAAACCTCCACAATTTTCTGTTTGCTTCACCTCAGATTAACTTCACTTGAAGCTGTACCCAAAGCAACCAAACCTGAACATCAAGCTCCACCTTCTCCAATTCTAGTGGCCGAAAGCGCAAAATCTCCTCCTTGTTAGTGAAACTGGTCATTGTGATTGGAGAAGGCTAATATCCATTATTTTAAAGAACTTTTCCTTGCTAGCAGGTTAGGTTAAACACACTAAAACCCCCTGGCTAAGCTGGTTTCTTAAAGAAACAGTATGTAATCTTTCAGTTTTCCCATTCTATGCTATTTGCTTGCTCTTTTGTCTGTGTAAAAATAAACTAACAGCAATGAAAACCTCACAGGCGAAGCTTTCGTTTGCAGGTCAGTGTCCAACTGCTTAAAACACAATGCTTTTAACCAAAATCGTTTGATATTTTTTCAGAGCCATGAAGGTGAAATTATTCTTCATAAAGACAGACTCCTTTTTCAAGAGCGTTCACAAAATTTCAGAACAGCAACAGAAAATCCTAGGCAACACTTTGCGAAGAGGAACAAGACAATATCTTCTCTAAGATTTCAAGAGAAGACTGCAACTTAAGTGAAAATAAATAGCACTAAAATACCGAATGCAAAGCATGAATTTCTAAGCTATCAAATTCATCATGTTCTCAGTATAACATTTTCAGTGACATCAAAACTTGATATTTCTACTTAAAAATGAAGAAAAATGAGATGGAAATGTTATTTCTCTATTAACATATTTTCAGGTCTGACAATGGTTTTGCCCAGGTTAATACTTATGCACACCAAGATAAAAAGAAAAGGCAATTTGTTCTTATGATATGTTCAGTAAAAAGCTTAGGATGGCTTAATTCTTTTTTTTTTTTTATTGTTTTTTAAAATAAGGATGGACACCATTTTGCACCCTACTTATTATTTTAAGGTGGCAATGGGCACCTCAAGATGAAGCCGAAGGATATACTCCCCTTAAAATACTAAATTATATTAAATTATATTTTTACTACAGTTTCTAAAGAGAGTATATGGGCACTGTGGTTTTCAAGTAAAAAAGATCTGTCACTTTAAACATTTACTATATGTATATTTAATCAGAACTGCTTGTTTTAGTAGGGTGGTCCATAAAACATTACTCCAACATTAACCATTATCTGATTGAGTAACACTTACCTTGTTCGGTAAAGTTGAAATTTCACCTCTACCAAAAAATTTGACTCATGTATGAAAACAAATTCAAAATTAAAGCAAACCAGAGAGGCTCTTCTTAAAATATACTTTCATTAAGTTTATATAGTTTTCAATTTTAGTTTACAGTTTTCTAAGTTCAAATTCTTGCAAGCCTTTTTTTCTCAAATGCATGTATTAGAACACAAAGCCTACAAGCTTGTCTTGAATACCAAGAGAATTCTTTGTAAGAAAGTAAAAATTCACATAATGCAACTAGACATGAATGTGGAGCAATATCCTGCAGAAGCCCAAACAGCTGCATAATCTATTACGCCTTTTAAGTGGACAAACTGAAAGAGCCAATTCACAGAGGTCTAGTCCCAAGATCCTTTGCAAGGATTCACTGAGTCAAGTTCAGGTTTCCTTCCCGCTGTGTGGACACTCTTGCAAAGGAACGCAGGAGGCAGAAGAGCTATAGGAGCCAACAACAGATACAACACAGAATTTGAGTTACAGGATGAACACTGAGAGAACAGGTCT